TCTGCCGATTACGACTATCATCGGAGATATCTTGTGGCGCTGTGGATCGTTAGGTTGGTAGATGTACACTGGGTGCACTAGCAACAGCGTCAAGTCGGAATAGTTACCGTCTTGACCTTGGACATTATGGACTCGAGCATGCGGTGATTCGATTCGTTTAGTCCTTTCTCTCGAGGTAGGTGTGGTGCGTCGACTGACATGATCGTGCACAGGCACCGCATCCGGGCTCCGTCTGAAGCAGAGCCAAAGTTCAATCGACCGCATGAGGTTACTAAGACAGTAGTGGCGCTGAGTTACGTTAAAGTGCGGCGAATGTTTCTTCAAGTTGTCGGAAACGTGCATGAAAGCTTGGGCCGGGGACCAGCGCGCAAGTACGGATAGATGCCGCAATATTTGCTCCGGTGACATAGCATCTCTCGTATCCAAAAAGTGAGCCCAATATGCCATCGCTGCAGCTGACCTTAAACTAGCCGGAGAGATACTACTGGGAACCCAACGGTGGAAGGATTCAGGCTTGTAGCCAAACCAAGATAAGGGAACGGCACTCGTGTAGTATGCTTCTTTCAACCGGGCGACTACTCCCCTCGCACGTTCCGAGTTTGTAGAATCCGACCAAAACGGAGGAATGAGCCACTCGGCAACCGCCGAAAAGTTATGGTCACTCAATTGTTCGTATTCATCTACCGTTCCGCGCGTCATGGCAGCTCCACCGGACGCAACTTGAGAATAGGTAACCACCTGTCTTTCAAACCATGCAAGAATTTGGTCGTCGTCTCCGTGCTGCACACGGCGTTCGAGGTCCCTCACGACGTCGTCCTCAACTAGACCTTGAATGAACTAATTACGAGCCCACTGTCCCGGTTGTGTTCCAACGACATCCAGCATCGCTAACACCGTGCCGAAGCCTCAACGACGCTCGACCGATTGGCTCCGGTAACTGAGCAATTTTTTGTTGGTTTTTCCCGGTCATCCTCAACCGATCGTTGGGCCTCAACCATCGTGGGGAGAAGAGGGTAGCAACAGCGCGGCCACGGTCGCGCTCATTCTCCCGCGCAGGTCTGACGACCGCGATGCGTGGGTGTTGTGAAAACAGGTTGCAGGACTAAGTTGTTTTGAGAGGAGGGCGTGTGAGTGGTTGGTCCATGACGACGATGCTGGGGTAATAATTTGGTGTGTCAGGTTGAGGAAGCTTCTTTCCTCAGGTGTGTGGCTACAAGTGGAAAGACTACCTCGGTGGTTGCTGGGCTACCTATTCCAAGCAGAAAGTACATGAATTCTCGGTAGCGGAGCACTCCTCAAGAAAAGCAGTACGCTCCAGGGCTGGAAACTGCGCAAGGACGGGTGCATTGGCTACTGCGGATATGTCGTACATTGTTGTAATTGCAGCACAGCCTAACTTCCAAGCTCGGTCGAATGCCCGTTCAATTGACACTTGCTTTATTTTCTCGTTGAGAGCTTGGTTGTACAGTTGGTTGAACGTATTTTGTGAGGCTGAAAAGCGGAATGATGGTATCGCGCGTTAGACCAGTCCCGGTAGCCTGATGGTGGTCGATGAGCAGCCGCAGGTGACCTTAGACTAGACGGACAACCGCTATCGGTAGCCCAATCAGGCACGGATTCAGCCTGCCAGGCGAACCAGGATTCAGGTAAGACATTCATGTTGTAGGCCTCTCTCAAACGAGAAACTACAGCACGTGCGTGTTCCAAGTCTGTTGGGTCCGACCAAAACCGAGGAATCAGCCAATCGGCAACAGCTGTAAAAACAGGCTCACTGAGTTGTTCGTGTTCCTCCACCGTTCCATGTGTTACTGCAGTTCCGACGGATCCGCATTCAGTAGAAATCAGCTGCCTTTCGAACCAACAAAGCAATTGCAGATCATCGCAGTCCCAATTTGCGAGGTCCCTAGCCACCGCGTCCTCAGTTAGACCTTGGAAGAACAAGCTTCGAGTCCAGTAACCAGGCTGTGCTCCGAGTGATCGATCTTAGTAGTTATCGAACGGGC